ATGCAAAGCCCCGCCCCCAAGGGTGCACAGAGAGCACATAGCCCCCAGAGCCAGACACTTTGAATGGTGTGCAGGGGCACAGCAAACAGGAAGCCTGACCAAAGTGAACCACGGGATGGCGGCGGAACAGATCTGGTGGTTTGGCGGGCTGGATCCACCCGCAGACCATATTTTGCTACCCCTAAAGAGAATTAGCATGGAGAAATCTGTGTTAATTCAAGTATTGGTTCAGAGTATTTACTGGTGAGGAAACCCAACAGTAACAATATCTGTCAGCCACCAGATCCACTGAGAAGAATGGAGGCTATTTGACCTCCTCCAAGTGGCTTTCTTTGCTTCTTCAAATGTCTTTTGTTGTCCTGAAGCAAATGGGAGAGTCCCATCTTCATCTTGGTTGAAGGATTTTCAGATCCTTCCTGAGGTCAAACAAAGATGTAACCTCGTCACTCCCTGTAGAGCTTCCGGTCTCCTGTCTCAGCCCTCAACATTTCTCCTGGAAGAAATCTTCCAATAGCCTGGTTAGGCGGATTTGATTACATCTCTGCGGGGGTCTCAGAAGAACCTCATATTTCAGGGTCTTGCCTCTGCTGGCGGGAAGACCCACATAAGCTGTCTGGTTTTTTTTCTGTCTCTGGCTCACATTTGCTCCTACCTTTCTGACTCCAAGTTTGCCAGTCTTTCACTGGGCTGGGCTGCAGCTGTGTGGCTCATTCAGATGTCTACGCTGCATTAGCTTGTGGACGTCAGCTTAGTTTTGCAGTTTAGTTGTCAAAGATCAACTAGTGGATCGACCACCTGGCTAAGCTATTACCATTTGAAACCAGTTCAGGGATGACCACAGGAGCCTGGGTAGGTCAAAACTTGCTGGACAGATGATTGGGTCAGTGACAAGAAGTGGTAACAGCTGGCATCACTGACCGCTCATTGTACCACTGTCTATGTCGTGTGGGGGCATAAATGACCATAAAGGGTGGCTGGAAGCTGCATACAAAGGCAAGTGGCTATTCTCATGGATCTTGGCTAGCAACATGAAAAAGCCTTCTCGTGGCAAATAAAGGGCAGTGCTATATTACTAAGTATGGGTAGCCCTGGCAAGAGAGTTGCCCAGAAAGATGTAGTTACAATATGCATAGCTTTGTTAAGCTCTATTGACCGGCCTGTGTGAGAAGAGCGACCCTTAGCAAGAGCACGGTACCCTGCTGATAAATAGCACAGGGCTGATGTTCTAAGCATCTGGGCGCTCACACTCCAGGTTGAACTGGCCTGTTTTCTGACAGGGCAGCTGTGCTGCCAGTCTCTTTAAATATTTAAATGATACCACTGTGTCAACTTCAGCCTAGGTCACAGATCCTTGACAGCACCGATGGACTTAATTTTCCACATGGCTGGTGAGGATGCTATCCAAGGCTGGTCATTGCAATGAATGTGAGTGTAGAATTCTGTCCCCGGCAGCAGTTGGTACCCATTTGCACGGGTGTAAATGACTACACAAGATGCAAGTGTAATCCACACACCAAGGCTACGTCTACACTATAGGCTTCCTGCACAAGAACTTTTTGCAGAAGAGATCTTCCTCAAAAAGTTCTTGTGCAAGAGCGCATTCACACTGCCATGTGCTTTTGCACAAGAGAGTGTCCACGCTGCCATGGATGCTTTTGCACAAGAGAGTGTCCATGCTGCCATGGATGCTCTTGCACAAGAAAGCTCTGATGGCCATTCACAGAATGGCTATTAGAGCACCTGTGCTTTTTCCGATAGGGGTTTCTTATGCAAGAAACTCCTGTTGTCCATCCACACATGCCTTTTTGCACAAGAGCTCTTACACAAAAAGGCTTATTCCTTGTAACTTTTGCACAAAAAGCCCTGTCCTCTGACGATCTATTGTACTTTTTCTTGTGCAAGAACTCGCGTGTAGTGTGGACGTACCGTGAATTTTTGCACAAAAATGGCCAGTTTTGCACAAAAACTCTGCAGAGTAGACGTAGCCCTAGTGTGGTTCACTGACCAGTGCAGTGACACTAAGACCACTTTCAGCAACAGCTGAGTACAAGAGATCTCTATAGCCTAGGCTGAGAGAGGCTTCTATATACAAAGCTCCAGCGGTCCCAGGTTCAAATCTGCCCAGTGGCAGTTACACAAGGTCATGGAAAATCTTAGGGAGCTTGTTGCACTAAACTATATGGACCAAATTTATCCCCGGCACAATTCAGCAGACGTCAGTGAAGTTCCACTGTGGCATGGCTTCCCATGTTACCAGAGCTGCTTGTCAATTGTGCAACACTGCAGTGCAGTGCATTGGCAAGGCAAAATGTAACTTCTGTATGCCAGAGGAGCCTCTTCCATGGGCAGCTTTACCCTAGCTGGAACTTAAACCATAAATCAGATTGTTTCTCGCACATCACATTGGCACCAACTCAAATGTGCGAAAGCTGTGCGGGTCCGTATTGATGGCTTCTGGTGTTGTCCTTTGCAAGCCACTTAACTGCACATTCTTACCGTACCCCTGGAGCTGCGGGGAATGGCTTGGCCACACCATTAGCCTTTATTTTCCTTTTCAATGCTGAAGTGTTTCCCTGGTGCCTTTGACCCAAAAGCTCAGTGAATTACTGTGGGCAATGCTGAGAGTGTGAAATTCGCTCCCTGGCAGAGCATCGCCCCAAAACTTATATCCCGTCAGGGAGAATTTCATCCTTCAGGAGCACATTGTGCCACGGAAAGTTGGGAGCTATTATCAAGAGCGGTGGGTTCCCAGGTTTTCATCCTCCCTCCAGTGTCATGACAGAAGTCCCTTTTGAACTGCGTGTTTGGCTCTCGCGCAAAGAATTCATTTGCTCTTAGCATTCTGACCCTCTGGAATTTAGAACAGTGTTGACTTGAGCAGGAAAGCTTTTTCTTCCTGCATGTCAGACATTTTATTGGAAACCTTTCCAGCTGCCCACTTTACCCTCCTGCCTACTCATTTGGCCTGCAAAGGGCTTGTTATTCAGAAAGTGATCTTCCGGCATTTGCATTGTGGGTGGCGGGGATATGTGAGCCTGCAAACATCAAAACGCCATCAAACAGCCTGGGTGAAACCTTTGGGAACGGGGAAGAGGAGATTCTAATTGGGTTTGGTGCATGGGTTCCCAAACTGGGGGGCGTGCCCCCCTAGGGAGGCATGAAGAAATTCCAGGGGGGGGCTCTAGGTGACCCAGCCCCTCTCCTCTCCCCCCACACATACATGTTCCTCCACACCTCACTTTCTTTGACAAAAGAGGGCATTTGTCCACTTTGCTTTTGTCACCGTGATCAGCTGGCATGAGAAAAAGGGACAAATGCCCATTTTCCCCCCCAAAACCCCCCCCCCCAAGTTTTGCTGCTATTATTGTTTTTTGGCCCTGGTCAGTTCCTTTTTTTTTCTCAACAAGTTTTGCTGCTATTTGGGGGGAGGAGTGTGAGGGTTTCTCAAAAATCCAAAAGGGGGCGTGAAGCCAAAAAGTTTGGGAACCACTTTTAGTGCATCCCTTCATTTTTCTGCAAAGACAATGAGGAGTCCTGTGGCACTTTAGGGTACGTCTAGACTGCAGCGCTATTTCAGGATACCAGAAGTATCCCAAAATAGCAACACCGCGTCTTTAAACACGCCCACTATTTCCTGAAATAGCAGGCATGCTGTTCCGGAGTCTTTGCAAACCTCGTTCCACAATGGTTAAGGGATTTGTCGGAATAGTGCCTTACTTTGAAGACAGCGCCAAATTTCAAAATAAGCACTTTTGACCTAGACTTGGAATAAGCTGTGCAATTTGCGTAGTGCAAATTGCATAGCTTATGCCTACAGAAGGGTGCTGTCTAGATGCATCCTTAGAGACTAACAGATTTATTTAGGAATCAGCTTTCGTGGGTAAAAACCACTTTGTCAGATGCATCTGCCAGCTGGAAATCTGGCTAAGTCTTCAGAACTCTTCCTTGGTTTTGCCGATACAGACTAACACAAGTAGCCCTCTGAGACTTCATTTTTCTGCGAGCTACAGTTGATATGAGTAGTCAGGAAAGGAAATCACGCTCACCTGTGTGAGATGGAGAGCCAGTCAGGTGGCACACCACCACATGACAAATGCCTGGAATTTTGACCCCAAAAAAGAGAAATGCAGAAGAATTGCTGAGCGTTTTGCCCCAGCGTATTTTGCTTCCTCTGCTATGATGTTCTATCTAGTCCTCTGAGAGAATCACCAACACTTGCAGAAAGTCAGGGTGCACTGACAGGGGACACACTGGAGCAAAGGTCTCTGAAGACTTAGCCTGATTGCCCCCCGGCAACCCCCAGGGAAGATATACTGCTGAGGCAACTGCCAGAGCTGGATTAAGGGGGCGCTAGCCGGGCAGCTGCCTGGGGCGCGAACCTATGGGGGGGCACCTGATGGCAGCTGTAAGGGGCGCCGCGCACCCGGTTGCAGCTGTAAGGTGCACAGCACGCCGGGGGGCAGGACTGCGCATCCTCCCTGCACCCGGGGGCAGAGCCGCGAATGCATCATGCGCCCGCTGCCCGGGGCGCAGGAATGGCTCAAGCCGGCCCTGTCCCCGCTCTAAGACTGTGGGCAGGATGCTCTTCCTTCCATGCCTAGACAGAGCTGGTGACTTGTGCAGAGAATCGTGATGTCATCACATGGGGAGAAGAGGGGTCCCGTCCTTGCCCCGTCACTCCCTCCTCCTGGACCTCCTCATGTATCCATGCACTGTCAGACACAATCACACCGACTCCCCTTACAGCCTGGGGGCATTGTGTGTGTCAGATGCCAAAGACGGAGCAAGTCTAAGATGCTGCTCCACCCTTCACCCCTAGTATGGAATGAACCCAACCTATGCCCACTGCTCGAATTACACAGCAATCTTGGTAAGCGAATTGTACCCCTCTCGGCTGAGCTCAGGATCTTTGGGAGCAACGGGTACGTCCGGGAAAGACCACGTGAGTTTGGGGCAAAGAGAATTCACTAGAAACACTTGTGCTGACTCCTGTGTTCCAGGGCCCAGATTTTGGCTACGTGACCAGGGAGCCTCTGTTCGAGGTCGTCACCAGTCTCGACTCCTTCGGCAACCTGGAAGTCAGCCCTCCGGTGACTGTCAACGGGAAGGCGTATCCCCTGGGGAGGATCCTCATTGGAAGCAGCTTCCCCACGTAAGAGAAAGTTAGGAAGCTGGGGTGTTTCACAGCAATTGGGGCCATAAGAATACCCCAATAGAGTTCTCTGCTCCACCTGCCTTCAGGTATAGAGCGTGTGGGTGTGTCTGTAAACAAACGGAGTCTGGCCTAGCCATCCTAGATCTGTCTTGCAGCGTGAACTGTGGTTGGTGGCACTTCAACAACAGATCTGGGGGACTGGTTTGGCCCGTTGTAACTTTCCATCATTGGCATGTTTTAAACCAAGAACGGAAGTTTGGCTTAAAAATCTGCTCTCGTTCAAACACACATTCATTCAGAGAAGTCCTACAACCTGTTCTACACAGCTCACGCTGATGATCACAATGGTCCAGTCTGGTCCTTGTTATCTATAACTCTGCGAAGGGGTAGTTGCAAAATCCAATTCGCAATTTGGGTTCAAATCGTCTCTCCCAATCCCCTCCAAAGATCAGCCATGTTTGGACTCCTCTGTAGTCATCAGTTATGAGTGACCACAGTTTAGAAAGGTCACAGGCTGACTTCTCTAAGTTGTGTTGGCTAGGGCAGTAATTAATTACCAAAAGTTTGCCATGACATTTTATCAGCATCGCCTTGGGGATGGATGTGTTAGGTGAGACCTGGGCTAGGACTGTCTTTCTGCACCAAGTGTATTTCATCCTCGTGAACATATTTATGGGTGTCTTTAGAACCTGAGGCCTAGTCCAGCACAATCGCCGGCCCTGAGGCCTAGTCTGCACCCTGAGGGGATCAGGTAGGGGGGTCCGGGCCCTCCCTCTCCACCGGACCCCAACCCAGGGCCCTATTAGTGGTGGGTGGTTCCCACCACCGGCTCGGCGGGGAGTTCTCCCTGAAATGCGCCGAGCCCACTGGGGGGGTCCCTGCCCCTTGCCCTGGGTTGCTTCCTACCCCAGCCCTGTGGCCAACGGAGACTCCACCTGGCGAAGCTGGGCCGGTGGCGGTGGCGGCAAGTCCCGTGTCTGGAGCAGCAGCGAAAGGGTTGTCCACCGCAGCGGGGCGGGTGGCCCCCGGAGTCGGCGTTGCGGGCGTGCTCGACCCGGGGACGGTAGCAGCAACGGCGGGGGGGCCGCCCGGGGGGTGGCTCTGGGGTTCGGGCCGGAGCTCCTTCCTCCCCGGAGGTCAGCCCCAACTGAGCATCCCAGCAGCCTTTTATACTGGGGCTGCACTGCGAGCATGCCCAGCAGGGCTGTGGGGGAGGGGCACATTCTACCCAATAGACGGGCTCTCCGCCCCCCTGTTCAGTGCGGGGCAGGCTAGCCCCGTCACAGGGTGCAACAATCTTTTCTTCAATTCATCGTCATCCTCTCTGGGTCTCAGCTCTGAAATAGATGTTCTGGTTTTCTCCTTTGGCCAATTAACCACTAGATCGGCTGGGAGGAGGATGACCAAGGTGGTGAGAGACTTCCTCTATGCTCAGCAAGTCCAGTCGCCTGTGGAGCTCTACTCTGATTGGCTGACCGTGGGCCACGTGGATGAATTTGTGACCTTCGTGCCCCTCCCTGACAAAAAGGTGACTTGCCCAGGTGTCAGTTTTACAGGTGAAAGGAACAGGCTTCCAGGCCCTGCTGAGTTTTTGATGGGAATGACCAAGCTCTTTGGACATAATATTTTCCCTGCCTTTGAAAAATAAAACTGAAATGTAAAAGAGTCTAGGGGAGAACACAGCCGATGGACCTAGTGGCATGGGATGGTATTTTCGAAAGCACCTACAGGAGTTCAGATAGAGTTGAATGTCTAAGGCAGTGTTTCTTAAACGTTTTAAGACAGAGGAACACCAGACAATATTTTTTTTTTTATGAGCAACACCAGGGACTTTCTGTTGAGCAAAAAAAGAGGCTGGGGAAAAGTTATTGAGGAAAAAAAAAAGGAGTGTCAGGGGGGAAGTTATTGAAGGGGAAAAAAAGTCGCCTGTTCCTTTAAGAGTGGCCATTTTGAACTCTGTTGTTCTCTGCAGCACACCTCCAACTGCCTCGCGGCACACCGGTGTGCCACGGAGCACAGTTTAAGAAACACTGGTCTAAGGCCATGCCTGCATTACAGAGCCTATGTTCATACTGGTAGGCTGTCGGAGAGAGGCACTGTAAGCCATCAGTAAGAGTTCTGTCAGCATAGCTACATCAAGTCCCCAGATAGGGTTGCCAGGTATTGAACTGGACAGCCTGCTATTTGCACCTTCCATCCGTTAAAAAAATTCAGAAAATACTGGACATCTAAAATGGCATCTAAAACAACTGCATTTTGGCCCTGGTCCACTTTTTTTTTTTTTTTTTTTTGTGCTCAACAACATTTCCTGCAGCTTTTTTTTTTTTTCTCAGCAGAATTTTTTCCTGGCATTTTTTTTGTGGGGGGGTTCGGTATTTCTTGTGAAACCATCTGGCAACCCTATCCCCAGATGACATTAGCTTTGCCAACAGTAGCACTCTCCTCTCGGTATAGTCACAACTCCCCTGGGGTGTTGCCGGCATATAGATCGGCTAGGAGGTGTGATTTCCCCTCCCCCCCCAGTCCAAGCCGACAGAACTGTGCTGGCACAACTGTGTTGTATAGACGAGGCCTTTGTCCGCGAAGTTCCCTTGATCCTCCCTGCTTTTGTTCTGTCTGTGAGGTTATTCAATAGCCTAGTCACATCAGACGCAAAGCCTACTCGTTTCTGAATGAACGAGAGAGGTCTAAAATGCGGGAGACAGAAAACAGCGCTCAGGAAGTTTAAAGGGGCATAGGGTTAATGCAGCATTTCGTGTGGACAAGCTGGTTTGAGCTGGTGTGGTAGCTGGTCAGCACCTTTCAGGATGCTCACAAGGAGACTTCGCTCCAGGAAGAGAACACTGGGACAACAGGGTCATAAGATGAACTTAGATCTTTGACCTACCCCCAAACAAATCAGACCAAAAATAAATGACCAGAAATACTTGAATCTGGAAATGTATGAAATGATTCTGCATGTGACATGTGTGGGCACCAGTGGAGCACGTTAACCGAACTTCCCTGGCTGTAGCCATTATAATGGACAATTCAGTCCTCTTTGCCACTGCTGCTAGGCAAAACCTTCTTGCGCAGGCTCAGTACGTGTTTTGACGGAAGCAGCACAGTGGCTGTAAGAAGATCCAGCACAGCTGGTCTTTACAAATTACTCTCGCAAGCTTTGTAACTGGTGTGAGCGATTGCACGGACATGGAAGCACGCGTATAAGGTTCGCTGAAAGGCTCCAGGTGCTTCATAGCTTGGGAGGATCCAAGAAACTGCACCAGCTAGTTGTGAGTTTCCAAATCTTGATGTGGTACTATAGGGAGAGCCCAAGGGAGAGGACAGTATAGGGTGTTAGAGTAACCTGGGCTCTTCCTGTTAGGTGACGTCTCCACTTGCCACGCCAGAGATTGATCTTCTGGCATTTGATTTAGCAGGTCTAGTAAAGACCTGCTAAATCAAACACTGAGGGCACTCCCAGTTGGCTGGTACTCTTCACAGTCGCAAGGAGTAAGGGACGTCGACGGGAGCATTTGCCCACTGTGAAGATGGCACCATGCTCAACTTAAGGTTATTTATATAGCTGGAGTTGTGTACCTTAAACCAACCTTCCCGGTCTAGTTTAGGACCTGGCTTTAGTTTCCTTTGCTCCTAGTAGCAGTCATTGACCAGAAGAAGTTTGTGTTTGGTGTAATGGACCCAAAGTGTTTTTGCTGCTGAGTTGTTAAATTATTATGGCTGCTCCTGATTATCGTTTAATGCTTTTCTCTCTTTGACTCCCTTACTCCTCGCCTTTCTCCCAGCAATTCCGAATGCTCATGGCCAGTACATCGGGCTGCTACAACCTCTTCCGAGACAAGCAGAAGATGTTCAAAGGTACATTACTACATATCTGCTTCCTGGCAAAAAGAGGCCATCAGTAATGGAAGGCAATATGGCCTAGTGGGGAGAGCAAAGCTAGTGTTGAGAGACCTGAGTTCCATTCTCTGCCATTCTACTGTTTCATTGTGTGGCCCAGTCAGTTAGCTGCTTAGTGCCTCAGTTTCCCCAGCTGTAAAATGTGGCTAAAGGCACCGTCCCTCAGTGCAAGTTGTGGAGCCATATAACATGGCACTCCCCCAGACTCCCAGAATTGAAACATTGTGTCAGCAGATATGCCTTTCTGTCCCTGAAATAATTACTTATCACTGGACATTCTGTCTGAAGCGTTCCAATGTATTTTTCCCCTGCAGATGCATCTTATTTAATGTATTTATTTTCATTGCACTTCTGGACAAGCCAAAGAAGGGATTAGAGCTCGTTTACAGAGAAGGGGATTTGCAAAATGTTGATCTGGTGCATGGAATTTACTTGTATTTGAGTCTGATATATATCCAAAGTACCCCAGATGGGGGGAATTGATTATGTCTCCAAAAGGGCCATCTAAAGTGCTGAGGGAGGAGAGGGAGTGGGGGTTACCAAAGAGAAGATAGGGTTTGACACATTGGGGGAGGCCATTTTCTCCATCAAATCAGATATCCTGCCTTCAGGATGCATCAGTGGGAAAAGCCCACAATGCACCTGGCTAACTGATCAGTGATCTCCGAAGAGGAGGAGGACAGAAATTCTTCCCTAAGCCCAGCAGTGATTGTCTTACACTGGAAGAACGAAGCTGATGTATTTTTATTGTCAGCAACCATGATGGTTGTTAATGATCATAAATTATCCAGATTCCTGGATTTGCCTGTCTCTAATCCTCGCGACAGCCAATCCCACAAGATGACCTCCTGCTGAGGGTGCAATTTGCAAATGTCCCACGCAAGCCCTATTTTGAGATGTTGACTGAGACTTGAGCGATGCCTCTGCTCTGAGTTGACCCTCAGCCTAGTGATGAATTTTCCCCTGGATGAAATGCTAGTAAGTCTCTGGCTTGCTGCATCACATGGAGGACCTCAGACCTGCTAATACCGTCCTGGAAACTTGGTCCAGATTTTGCAGATTTTTTTACTCCAGCAGCTTTTCTCCCTTATTGGGCCCAAAGCGCCTTGATTTATTTTGTGTTGGCTCTGCCAGGGACTTAATCTCTGGTTTAAAATGAGGGAGATTACCAAGATGGTGCAGCTGTTGAATAATAAAGTGTCCATGAGCAATAAAGGCATTCGCTGGCTCATAGCACAAAAAGCAGCACTGGCAGTTTGGCCTGAGTACTTGGCTTGGGCACCTTCTAGTTATGAGTGGGATGAAATACACCCTCACGCCAGGGGCAAGGGCACCCCTTATGCTCTTCCGCCCATCTCTGATGGAGGCGTAGGTACTGATCGGATTCTCATCACCATAGTAACTGACAGCTTCATCCCCACAACACCCATGTGACGGAGAGAAATATCGTTAGCCACACGAGGCCCAGAGAGATGAAGGGCAACGTTCAGAGGAGGAGCACAGCTTTTCCATACCTCAGGCTTGAGGACTGTTGGGGAAATCTCACTCCCCTGGGGTACAGAACCCCCAGAAGGGTCCGAAGCTGGAGGTCAAAGCAGTGAGGCAGGAGAGAAATCTAGAAGGAAAACTTTATTATGCATGCATGCAGGCTGACAGCTACCAGAGTGAGAGCAGCAGCAGCCCTGAGACAGGTACAGGGATCCTTTATATAGTATGCTCAGACAGTTTAGTTGTTGATTGTTTTCTTTAACATATCAAAGTCTCAGCAGAAGTACTCTGAGAGGTTTCTAGAAGTGCTAGAAGTAAGTTTTACAGAACAAAGGCACATGAGAACTTGAGTGAGGAGTCTACAAGGCAAACTGTGACAAAGATAAGAGTTTTACATGGCAATTTGTGACAGACTAGGAGTCTCCATGAATTTGAGATAGGAGGCATTGTAAGGGTCTTGATTAGAGTTAAGATGATTTCTCTCTGTTACAGGGAGAGAGGCCTGGAAAACTTTTAACCCTTACAGCAGTTTTCTTTTAGAGAGTTTTGATTTCCT